TTCTTATGTTCTTATCTCATCCAAGACTTTGCCTCCAGCACTGGCCAGCTAGACGACCACAAGAAGCTCACAAAGGAGCACCAGCAACTGCTACAATTTGTACAGTGCACGACCACATCTAATGATATCCCTAAATATTTATTTGTTGACTCCTTAAGTATTTATTTACCGGCATGACAGGCCTCTGAGTGATGTGCAAATAATCTCCCTTGTTGAACCTGAATGACAACTTTTCTGTGCCTTTCTCTTCCCCAGTGCATCTTCCTCAGCCCAGGGCTCTGTATCACTTACTTATGACCTGCAATGACTGGATGAGGCTGAGCCCTGGGCACGTCCACTAAGCAGCATCTGGAAGCAAGCAAAGCCAAAAGCACAATAGTCCCAGTCAAGAAGACAAGCAGTCCAAAAGCAGGGTCTTGCTAGGAACCCAGAGATCGGGGCAGACAATATCAGTTCAAGAAGAAGCACCTTTTCCAAGCACTGGGAAGCGAAATAAGGTATTGTTCTCACACTCAGCAAGTCTCAACCAAGAGTTTATCAGCTGGAATTTCCAGAGCACCACCCAGGATTCATGAGGAAGAGCCCTACTCACAAGAAGGTTTACTCATGCCAAACCTTCCTCTGCGAACAGACACTGCTTCCCACAGTGATTGTTCTGGTCTGCCTCTTAGGTGGATGTTCTCAGGGGGCTTGGTGGTCCCTAGCTTCTCTCAGAGGCAGAGTTCTCCTCCTCTTACAGGAATGGACCTGCAGACATCCCCACAGAGGGCTCAGGCTCTTCATCTTCCAACATGGACTGGTCCTCAGTGCTGTTTGTCTCTGCAAGCTCCAGCTCTTCTTCCAACAGGGACAGAACTGCATAGGTTGAATCTTTGGCATCTTCTTACTTCATTACACTTACATGGGATAGAACTGGCACTCAGATGAATCAGATTCAGCTCCTGAGCTGCAGTTTACTTTCTTCATGGATAAATACATTCCCATACAAAGCACCATAGCATTAGTAAGTGCAACGTTTTTGGAAAGTATGATAAGCTCCATCCCATATTATATGCTCTCTATGATGAATACGTGGATGTACCACCTAGCAGATGGTTGTCTGTATTCACCCTATCCCTTGATAAAAACAAACACATATTCAGCTAATTTTATTAAAATATCAACAGATTTTGTGAAACAACCACCATCAAAATGCTTTACATGTTGACACTATTAAGCCCCTTGTGAATTTTACATTGCAAAATACTTTTTGGCAAGTTTCTCATTACATAAATATCACCCACTGAAAGACTGTTGGCACAGATGTCTCTTATAGGTGCTAGATCTGTCTGTAACAGAGATCATGAGATACGTGTTCCTAGCCAATGTACATGTTCCAACAATGACTCATCTTTCAAACATTTCTTGAAGCTAGGTTTTTATAGCTGTGATGTCAACCTTTCTGAAAGACTGCAGATGTACAGATTACAAATCCTAAGCAAGCTAAATTCGTACCAGGTTTCTTAGACAATAGAAACTCTTACATGAAAAAGGAAGGTGTCCTAAAATTCCATTTCCTCTGAAGGACATTTCTTAAAAGGTATGGGTATCCAACCAAAGTTAAACACCTCTAACAGAGTAGTCCTATCTTCAGAGTTTGTTCGTGGGGCAGGACAGGACTGCCCTCAATCTCTCAGTGTCAACAAAAGGCAATGCATGCATTTTGCTACAAAAAGGCTGCAGTTGCTGCATGTGAATAGATTCAAGGTGCTGATCGTTGTTGTAAGCAACTGGCACCTAGAAATATTCACATTTGCATGGACTGAGTCTTGAATATCCCCTCTTGGGGAAGGAGTTAATAATTCAAGATGCACAACAGAAGAGGTCCACGGTATTAAAAAGTTACTTCTCTTAAAGAATTAAAACTTAGCTGTTCTAAACTTCTAGAATTTGCTCGGACTATTTTAGTGATGGCATATCTACTTTATGGCATACAATCTAGCAGTGTTCTTGTGCAGTTATACTAATATCACCCCTTTATTGTCTTTAATCTGGAAGTAAAAGCACAGGTATCTGCCATTAGCGGTATGCTTTTAAGTGGGTGATTACCTTATTATTACCCTCTGGGAGGTTTTTATGTTTTATAAACCATTCTGAAGGCTAACATTGGATGGCATTCTGATTTTTTTAAACTCTAGGTCTACCAATCTGCAATTAAACCTCATTGTTTTCTGTCCTGTCCTCATCAGATCAGCAGTTCTTACATTCCTTTTAATCCTCCCTGATGTTCTTGAAGTGTCCCCATATTAATCCAAACCAAACATATTGAATAGTTTGCTTTCATCACATAACACACCTTCCATGTCAATCACCTTTGTGATAAAGGCATTTTATCATTGTTACGAGCTCCTCGCTTAACCTTTTTGCTACTGACTTTGCCAAAAGATGGTGTTCTTACTGAAAATGGTGCTGTTTCCTCTGTGGTAGAAAGGAACTGAGATGCAGATGAGAGTCACACCTCAGGCTTCCACAGAGGAAGGGGTGGTGCTCCTGCCGAAAAGAGGAAACCCCTCCTGAGCTCTAGGATGCTCCGATTACTGTCCCATGAACTCATGTGTGCCACAGAGGTTGTGAAGATGAAACAAGGCTAACGTATTGAATATTGCGGCGCTACTACTTGCTGCCTCTTAGGAATTATGTGTCAATACAGCGTGAAACATGTTTAAGTTTTGTCACATCCAGTATTCAGGACTGGCAGCTGGGAAATTCTGCATGGTAGAGCCTTTCACTTGATTATTTGGTCCAGCTGCAAAGGAGAATGGCTTTGATCCCAGCTTTGCTTTCACGGGTAAGCATCCAACACTTTTATCCCACAAACTAAAATAGCATTAATGGAGTTCCACCAAATCTTTCTGATGTACAAGTTCTGAGCATTACAAACGGTTACGTTACCACTTGCACAATTGTTCACGGAACCACACTTGTGCAAACATATCTTTAGTTGAATTTGCCTCTAACACATAGTTTTGGCTGGAAAAACATTATTACATGAGCGGAATGACACGGTTGAATCCTTGCCCAATGAATGAAAGAGAAGTTCATGGAAAGGGGCTTTTCAGAACCCCCCTTCAATCTGCAGCCCCCTCTGTACCAACCAAATTTGCTCCTAGGAGTTGGGGGACTCTCAGTTAAGTCCAGGTAGTAAAAAAGAAATAGCCTGTACATCAGACTGCCTTGGGTGATCCCAACCCAGCACAATAGGCAGCCCACAGCAATGGATAACAGACAAGAGGGAGAAAACAGATCTCTCCGTCATGAATACTTGCATGTCTGCAACCCAGTCCAATCATGCAGGAACTCCTATGTGCACTAGCTGTCCTTGGGCTCATAAAGATTTCCCCTTCATTTCAGTGGAGGCAACCAATCAAACCACTGTCTTCTTCTGTGCCCGCAGATTCAGTTCTCCCATTCCAATGAATTCATTCTCCCTGACAATGAAATTCTGGATTCGCCTTGGTCGATCTTTCATAAATAAAGAGAAGAAAGAATAGCCATTAATGTTGCTTTGATTCATTTTTAGCCCTCCAATTATAAATGGATTGATTATGAATAATCCATAATTGTTTGTGGATAATCAAGATTTAAAATAGAATAAATACTTATGAAATGAGAACTCTAATGCCATATATGAAGGTGGTACAACTTTTTCTACCCTGAGGACCACATGAGGACTTTGACACGGAACCCAGGGGCCACATAATGTATTACATTTCCATATTGTAATTGCAATATATTTAATTTAATATACGCAATTAATATATTTAATGAGCCCTTAAATGAGGGAGAATTAATGTTAAGATGATTTAGGGCTAATTGAAAAAGAACACTCTGTGGGCCTGTGATCACAAGCAGTGCCTTCTCCAACCACAGCCCAAGCACAAGGACCACTCACCTGGGGCGGCCCGTCCATTTCCTCCCTGTTTCTCCTTCCCAGAAACCCTCCCAAGTGATCCCCAGCCCCTCCTTCCTTCTTGGAATTGGCATGCTGAGCCTCTTATGCTTGAGCTGGCAAACTTTCCCCACTGTGACCTGCCTGCTTCTGCAGATGAGCACAGAGACACTCCTCTCCTGAGCACCTTTGAGTTCATCACCTGGAGCAGGGCCTCAGGAAGAGAACAGGATGGGCCAGCAGCCTCAGGAGAGCTCACCACAATCATGCGCCTGTCATTGCTGGGATCCAGGTTTGCAGGGCACAGGGGGCTCCAAGCTGCGAGAAGGCCGCATGTTGGACCACCCCGCCATATAGGAACTGATTGTTTGCATTAGCTTATGCACAAGAAATGCAAACAAGCCCAAACTGAAGCTTTGTTCTCTTATTAGCATAAGGTTAAAGCCAATGAATACATAATTGTTCCACACCCCAAGTGTTAAAGGATTTTATTCTTAGAGTACAAAGAATTTCATAAATTAATATGCAACACTGCCTTTTGCTGGAAAATCTTTTTCTCTCCACTTTCTCTCTCTCTCTTGAAAACACCCACACACAACAGTTCTTTGCTGGAGGGTATTGCCATGAATGGAGCCAGACAGCCAAACTAATACTGATGCAAGAGCACATATCTTGGAACTGCTCAGAACAATAACTCTAAAATGCTATTAGCATATTTTCATTTCAAGTTCCATTTATGTCTATAAATCCTAAAATTAAGTTATACAATATATATTTCCTGCATAAGATAAAATTAAATTAAACAAAAATATACAAACTGCAAATTGGCAAGAATGCTATTCATGTAAAACATTATAAAGACAGAAAATACATTCTAATATTACAAAATATATGAGATTAGTCTAATAATTACAGCTTATTGTCCTAAAGACAATTACCAGTTTAAGTTCAGAGACAAACAGAGGACCTACAATGATCCATCACTCTCATGAACAACATCATGAGTTATTTTAATTTAAAAACCAGCCCTAAGTACCATGTTGTTATAAAAAAAAAAACCCTTTGCTTTTTCTTTTCAAATGTAACTGGTGTTGCTGGGCTTTAGATTTAGTAAGGATTGTTTCTTTTGCTTTTTAATACCTTGGCTTTTGTGCTTCAGTTGCTTTATGCCCATTGCCCAGGTTTAGTTTCAACACCTGGCTTCTCTATGTATTAGGAGATCCCAGTTTCAATAAACACAATTGAACATAGAAATGTTCCTCCATTTTTTCCTTTATTTTGGTGTGATATACCATCAAGCATTTCACAAGAATATTATATATATACATATATCCATTAAAAGAAAATAATCAGTTTCCATTAGATTTTCTGCATCCAATTCAATCCTCCAAAATCAGCTAATTTCAGTTACCACCACCACAGCACCCCATCCACCTTTCAGGGCTAAATTTGCATTTTTGAGTTCTTTCAGCATTCAGTGGCAATTTACCTCCCCTACTTAAAATAAAGAACAGCCATTGCCTCCTGCATTTCAAAACACAGAGATGGGGCACATTCAGCCTTTTGTTCAGTTATCTGAACTTTTAGTCTAACCAGTTCCCAGGGTTCAGCATTTTAAACAATAATAATGAATTAACATCTTTAACAAGGAAGAATGGATGGCCATCTTGAACCAATGAATGAATGAATGCTCTCCAAAACTCTCCAAACCCAGCATGTAAACAAGATAAAGCAGCCAATAACAAATGTGACAATGCACTTCCCCAAACGTTTTGGTCTCCACGGCAGCTTTAGATTCTGATTTACTGTTGATACACTGAATTCAGGATGTATTTTTGTATGTTTTTTTCACTGAATTGTTGTACTGATTGAATCCTGCCGAGATCCACTGATACAGAGTACCTTATTAACATTTCAGTAAACAAATAAACATCGCCCCCTGTATGCCAACAATTGAACACTATTAAGAAAATGAATCATTCAAATAGGATCAAACTGAAATCTCACATCTTGGCTGTTGTCACTGACTTGAGTGTAAAGCTACCTCCCCATCCTGGTACCCTTCAGATGTTTTGAAGTGCAATGCACAAAATTCCTCACAATTAGCCATGCTACCAGCGGGAGCTAAGAACTGTTATCCAAAGCATCTGAAAGGCAGCAAGCTGGGGAAAGTTGGACAGCCAATGACTCCTTCCCATTTCAACTGCCTTCCTGGTTGGTACTTGCTTAGCTTTAAAGTGCCAAACCTGACATTTTATCATTTTAACGTCATGCTTTTTTTGCCTTTCCTGTCTTCTGGCTAATAAGACCAACAGGTTTCGCCTGTTTCCTTAGTAGAAAGATGCATGCAACACATGCAAATTAGCCATCAACTTAGCTCAAAAAGGAAAAGCCTCTTAGTTATTTGCTTGAGCACAAGATGTCCATGTGCTTTTTAATGTCAGTGGCTGATAGATGGGAAGTCAGGAGCATTTGCTTTGATAGAATCAGGTTGACATCCACTTTGATGTTCTCCTCCAGATGTCTGAGAGCCTCCTGCTCTTTTTAAGTATGTCAAATTAAGCAGAAAAACTAAAGTCATTTCTTATGCTGAATGGATATGTCGATTTAGACCATTTAAGAACAGTGAGTAACAAATTAGGCGGGTGATAGAAGATCGATGCACAAAGCATCTGTTGTTTTCTCTGGACCCAACAGATAATCAAGCTCCTTGAAACAAGTAATCATCTCTCCTTGCTTGGTGAATGAAGCGATGCTTTAAGGTGGTTGCAACATAGTATGAGTGTCTCTGCATTATGGATCATTTATGAATGTACAAATGCCACAGTCTATGGGCTAAAGAACGTGAATTATGTTTCTGTCTCTAGCCATGCTAATAGGACATGTCAGCAAGGACTTCCATCAACTGCAGCTCTTGCCATTTATAGCACCGGGGACTGAATATGAATGAGGCTTCAAAGATGTCTGAGTGACTAATATAGCATCTGTCTTCATAATGGTGTTTATACATATTTTTAGATTTTAAATACTGTATGTAATTGTCAGTTCTTGCTCAAAGAGTTTGCTATGACCTGACTTTGGCTGACATTAGCTTTTCACAGACAGTGTGGAGCCTCCTGAGATGTCACACCAAAACTTTGAGGACAAGGGTATGAACAATCCATTTCAGTTCTTTTCTCCCTGACAACATTGTTCCTAAAGGTATTTGTCAAGATGCTTCTGAAGGAAGTGCTTCACCGCAAATTCTCAAGCTTTAAATTACATGGCCCACATACAGATGGGCACCAACAGATAATAAATAGGAGGTGGGACAGAATCCTGAAACTGAAGTGAATGGGAAACTGAAGTGGTGTCCCTGCAAGCATGTGTACACATAGACACTTAGGAGAGCAGAAACGTTGTGCCATAGAAGTTGAAAAAATGTATTGCGTGACTTATGGTATGCATACACAATACAGCTAAATAGTCCTGGAATTGCATTATTGTCGATATCCAATAGAAAACAGTGGAGATGGGATACTAAAGAATTAATTTTCAAATTTATTAACAGATGTTAGATTGATAGCAAAGAATTGGAAAGTAAAATATGATTATCAGTTGAGTGATTGGTACAGAGAAGTTTGGGCTATAGCTATTAATGACATTAAAGACAAAAAGTCTGATAAATAAGAGTAATTTTTATTTTTGGGGACCATTTATTGAGTATGTATTAATAAAAGGAAAAGGTTTTGAGCCTTCACAAGATTCATTGCCATTTTGGAAAGAGGACAGAAGCTCTTGAAAGAATAAATGATTTGACATATATCCAATGGTCCCAGTGATGGGATACACTGCTTTGTTTTTTGTTTGTTATGCTTTAGCACTTTTTTTTACATTTATTGTGCAATTTTATGAATGCTATGAATTTGATTAATTTTTTGTAATTAAGAGATTTAATAAAGTTAAAAAATACAGCTAAATAAAAAACAGTTAAGTCACTTTAGCTTTTCCCCAAAGAACTGTGGGAGATATAACAAGCATCATATCTCAGACATCATCATCCTGGCAACTTTCGAAAATCTAGTACAGTTGAATACATTTATCTTGAACAGGCTCTGGTCCAGATCTAGTCAGACAGAAGGAAAAAATTCAGGTTCCTTTGACATATAAACGTGAAGCATACCACCAACTTTAAGTCAGAGATACAAGCTAGGACTCCTTCCTATCATAAAAGGGGTGAGGAACCTCAAGTATGGGGACCAAATCTGGCTCTCCTGAGGATCTCGGCAGTTTCCCAGAAAGCCACATCCCACCCACTGACCCCACCCTCTTCCCTCAACCACTAACCATTCTCAGCTTTTGCGCACGCTTCCCCCATTTTGCCCTGAGTCTGGCCCCTTGCATTCGTCCCCACCCAAGGCAATGCCAAGAGCTTCTCCAAAATTGTATTCTGAATTTGGGTGGAAGCAGATCCCCAAACGCTGCATGAAAGGCTTGAAAGATCAGAAGTGTTAGGTCCTAATGGCCATTTCACGCAGAAGCCTTCCTTTCCTTTAAACATTATATGAATTTGCAGTTTGCTGCTGTCTCCTGAGTGCTACAAAGGCAGATGTTGTCATCCGAAACACACAAGATATAAATTTGATGCTGAAAAGCTATTTCAAAATCATACAAATTGGTAGACAAAACAGTGTACCACACACAATTATAAAGAAAGCTTTTTTCCCCGTGACTGTTGTCTCATTAAATAAGCAAGTGTGGATTAAACTGACATCTACCATATGCTTTGAAATGAAGAACATTAAAAAAAAATACAAAGCTCATTAAGGCTTGATGAACTCCAAAGAAGTTCAGCCACATTGCATGGATTTCAGAACTGTTTTGCATCATAACAGAGTGGGGGAAATGTACCCTGATTTGTTAAGGTCCTGATTTGTTAAGTTCCCCATACTCAGAAGCCAGCCAGGCATGGATGCTAAAGGACCTAAACAGTGCTGTGCAATGGGGGAGGCTGCATCCATCATGTGAGTCTAGTTGAACATATGGTGGATCCTGAAGGAAATAATTCTGAAATAATTCATGGTATCTCCAACCCACCGATTCACCTTAACCCTCCATATTGTATTTATTACACACTCATGACTCTTCACTCAAAAAGTCTGCAGGTCTTTTTGACAATATCATCATCATCCAAGGACCCTCCTGTGTTTTCTAGCTATTTCTGCAGTTTTTTCAATTTAATTTATTGGTGCAAGAAAAGCAAGCTATTTCTGGAATGTCTCCATTATTCGCTACAAAAGCCTGATATAATTTCCTAAGTCTGCTCTCTACCACAGCGCCATCTTGCATTGTGCACTGGAACATATAAGAGCATACAGAAAGGCAGACAGGAAAACCATTGGAAAAAGAACTTCATGTGAAAGACACTCAACCCCTTCTGCAAAGAAAGCAGAAGCAGCAGCCTCAGTTAAGTTCTGGGTTCAATGCCACATGTGGAGGAGTTCCAACATGTGTTTAACCATGTCAAAAATTGCAGTTTTAGTCACAAAGGATGGAGCAGGCAGCTCTGGCAGCATTAGAACTGGAAATATGAAAGTCTTTGATCCTAAAGTTCTAGCATTAAAGGCCTACTCCTCTACCTTAGTTTCAAAACTATGCATACCTCTCTTGCCAAGACTCAAAAGCTACCAGTAGGCTTCTAATCTTGGGGCTTTGACACAACTGGATCATGCTAGCTGTCAAAATGTGGAACACGCAACATCTTTTCCCTGTAGAGAAGAATGGTGGGCACAGCCCTGTGAGAAATCTTCACCAATTTTGTAGATAGAAAGTTCATGATTCGTTTCAATAATGAATAATAAAAAATGGGTATTTGCTGCATCATTGCTGCTTGCACTGGTGCCAGTCTCTCTGACAAGATTGCGGAGTACCATAATTGACTTTAGTTCAGCTGAATCTCTATGGGCGAGAATTGTGTGGGAGAGCAAGCGAGCGTGCCTAGTAGTGCACAGGAGTACCTGCTCACGTGACAACCCACCTTAGGCTGAGCTTGTTGCTGCTGACACTGCCCAGCATCTCCCGCCCTGCCTCCCACCCCACCAGCCGCAACAGACAACAGCCTCCCCCTGCCCCAGACCCCAATACAGCAGGAGAGCATCTCCATTGCGTGCATGCAGACAATTCCAGCCTAGAGTTCTCAGTTATAGATTTTCAGGCAGAACAGCTGGAATTGACCCCAACCTAAGATGCTGGGGAAACACTACAAGTCAAAGCAAACAGTAGTGGATTAGATGGATCGATAATCTGTTCCAACCTAAGGCAGCTTTCTGGGTTTACTTTGGTTGCCAACCATTTGAAAAGGCTGATAAAAATAGTTTATGTTTTGTAAGACATTCCACTGCTGCACTTTATGCTAGTAGTCTCTTGCCTAACCACATCACCATGGAATATTTCTTTATTTTAAATAGCTATAGCCCGCCATTTTTCCTCCCAAGGAACTCAAGGTGGCTTACATAATTCTCCTCCTCCTGCTCAGTCTTATCCCCACAGCAGCAACTCTGTGAGGTAGGTTGCGCTGAGTGTCTGTGACTGGCCCAAAGTCACCCTGTGAGCTCCATGGCTCAGTGGGGACTAGAACCCAGATCCTCTGAGTCCGAGTCCTTCACTCTTAACCAATTCATCACATTGGCTCTCAATATACCAGCCTTCCCTAATTGAGCACTCTCCAAATTGTAGTTCAGTTCCCATTAGCCCCAGCTAGCATGCTAATGGACAGGAATGCTGGAAGCTGTAGTTCAAAATATCTGGAGATTGAGCAAAGCACTGAGACAGCAGTGATGGGTGGAAAAGTGACAGCAGCCAGTGCTGTCAGTACAACCTTTTTGCTATATCTCCAGCACCCACAAACATAATTTTAAGGAGAAATTTAGGAATGTAAATTTGCTGTAAGAAAAAGTATGCAGGAGATAGATTTGGGTGAACAGGTGATGGGTCTTGTGTTCAGTTTGACATTCAGGAATAAGTGTCCAGCTCTTGGAGAGTACCCAAAGGATTGACTCCATCAAGGAAGCCACAGCCTTGAGTTTGCAAGAGCTAAGCAGGGCTGCCATGGACAGGACATTATGGAGAGCTTTCATTACAGGGTCACACTAAGTCAGAGACAACTTGACTGCACGTAACGACAACCACCCCAAAGCATCTTTCCACTAGTGGAATGAACACCACTGCTGGATTCAATTTGTCCTGCCCACCTGTTTAGCATGCATATCCCAAATCTGCCCTACAGGGTTCAGGAACCCTCTGAAGCAAAACTTGAAGGAAAAAGATCTTGCAGGGGCTGGAATGAGGAGGAGATGAAGGTCCTTCAGGAAAAGAAGAAACGAGCCAGTGTGGTGTAGTGGTCAACTGCATGGACTAGGCAATCTGGGTTCCAGTCCCCAGTCAGCCATTGCGCTCACTGGGTGATTTTGGGCGAGTCACAGACTCTCAGCCCAACCTACCTCACAGGGTTGTTGTGGTGGGGATAAGATTGAGAGCAGGAGGAGAATGATGTAAGCTGCCTTGAGTTCCTTGGAAGGAAAAAAGGCATAAAATAAATATAATAAATAAATGGACTGTTGTAAACTGCCCAAAGAGCTTCAGCTGTGGGTGAGCGGAGAAAGTAAATAAATAAGTAAATACCCTGTTGTGCGAGCAAAAGTCCATTCCCACAACAGTGGTTTTGCCCTGTGCTACTAGCCCATTGGTAGAATTCTGTAGGGAAAAAAGATGCAAATTAAAATTCCATAATCATATTTGTGCTTCAGACCTTACATATCTGATAGCTCATTCAATTAACAAATTAAGCTAGCTGGGTACTCCTTAAGCCACAGAGCAGAAATGATGTAAAATGAAATCCACTGTAATTTATTCTCAATATTACTTTTTGAAGATACAGTGGGGGGAAAACAGTGCTTCCTGCTTTTTACAAGTAGCATAATCAGAATCACAAAGGTCACACTAAAACGCATTTCTTTAAAATATAATTTAATTACAGGAAAATGAGAATTAATGGTACCGCTTCCACCCAAATCCCAAAGACAACAATGATTGCACCATCATCCTTCACATCTGGCCTACAGTTCTTAAATATCAACTGTTACAAAAATCAGCGGTTCCCAGCAAAGTTGGCAAGCCACGCCGTCAAAAATACCATCCATTCTGAGTATGAAGGGAACTGCCTTTTGCCTCTTACGAAGGGGATGCTTTTTTCTGACATTTTGCTGTGGAGAAGCTTTGGGTGATGTTTGCCACCAAAACCTTTCATTTAATCTTCTCTCAGCATCTATGGGATACGTTCAATGCCGGCTTTAGTCACAGCCATACGCGTTCACTTCAACATTGCTTCAAGCGAGGCAGCACAAACTCACTGAACGTTTCTGCAAGTCCCGCTGCCACAAATTCATTGTGTAGCTCATCCAGCGTCGAATACTCTTTGACTTCAAATGCCTGAAACCTGTGTTGTACAAGAAAGTCTTCATGAATATGCCTACTTCTGTGTCAGAATGTAATTATCAATTCAGAGCTGCTTTTCTAGCCGAAACAATACTAAATTATACCTTCTGTGTTCTGCCTGAGCTTTTGTTTCAGAGAGTACACTAATCATTTTCTCTTTACACTTCTTTCCGCTTGAATCCACGTCCACTTTGCTAGTTTTTTGAAGAACAATGTATTCCTGAATCGTACACAAAACAACAACAAAATATTATGTTTCATCAAAAATACCTGTTAACGGTAACTGCTGGAAAATAATAAAAAAGGAGAGGGGAAATCATCCCCCAAAATCATGCCCTTGTTGAAATCAGCAGGTCACAGCACGCTTCTTCTATTAAAGGCAGGTCTACAGTTTATGCTCTGTGTGTTATTTCCATGTAAAGTGTGGAAGATGTAGACCTGGAGATATCTGCCTGGGAAGCCCTTTACAAGTTGACAACAGAAGCATACTGATGTCCATGCTTAAAGGCACGATCCTACTCATGTTTAGACAGAAAAAGGGTTGTACCTTCAGTCATGAGGGTCCCATAATACCTGGAGCTGCATCCAAATGTACAAATGAAACTGCAGCCCATATATGAACTCCATATGAATTCCATAATGCTCCCAAACTAGCAGGTGTGGAAGTTAGCAGTTCCACTCCAGATCATCCAATCTCCATGGTGTTATTTCAGGTTAAATACACATCTGCATTACTATGCTCTTGACCATGCAAAACCCACAGCCCACTGCAATGGTTATTTAAAATATCTCCCTCTCCTAACCCTTTTTTCTTAAGCTAGAAAGACATATCTGGCTGCCATGATACTTGGATACTACCACTACATAGTGCAATGCAAGGTCATGACATCTAGGACAGTGTGGAAGGCTTGGCCACAGCGCCATCCGTTGCATGGTTTGGTCAGATCATTTGGTCTTTCCAACAAAAATATCAGAAACTAACAACTGATTATGATAGCAAATGATGGTGCATTAGTCCCAAGAGATTAAATGCTGATATAATACAGGATCAAGGATTCTTCTACAATACTGCCAAATATAATCCCGGGAACAAGTAAAATGCTTATATTTTTAAAAAGATCAAATTAGAAAATAAAATTGTGCGATGCTTCAGGACCAACACCACGTGTTGTTTGACGTGGATGATCTGGATCCATTCCAATCTATTTCAAGCCTAGTTTGGGGACAGAAGCAGCCTTGGTTGCAATATAGAAGGCTGATGTTAGGAAACTGAGATTCTAAACGGCTTGCAGTTCTATCAACCATGAAGTTCCTTCTGTATCATTGATCTAGGCTGGACATATGGGTACACAGGGTATACCTTTTGTTTAATTTTCTCTGTGTACATCTCACAGATTGCCATGCATCTCTCATTCTGTTTTCGACTCATTTATGGAATCAGATTTTCTTCTTCAGAAAAGTACACAAAACTGTCCAGTGCCATTTACGTAAGTCTCAGAGATAGACTAGAGATCTTAGTGCTGAAAAAGTCCAGACATGGATAACATGCTGCGTTGGGTCTCTTTAAAAGCAACCCTATATTAGACCTCAATTAGTATTTCCTCCTAAATTTTGTATGACAAAATTTGCACACAATTCTGGGAAGTTAAAAACAGTACACAAGCCTTGGAAACCATTTGACTTAGAAAATGCCAGTCCACTGTGGAATTTGAATCCATTTCGGATTTCTGTAACATCCTCAGGTACAGCAATTCCAGTTCTTCCAGGATGAATGATCTCTGAAGATGGTGCTTGGAGGCACCTGCACCACACTATGGCTATTGGCTTGTGGAGTTCCACAAGGTCCTCTCTTGTCCCCTATGCTTTTCCATACATACGTTTGAAAAAAAATTGAGAGAGTTTGGCTGAAGCGATATCAATACAAAGATAAAATTCAGCTCTGCTCTTTTTTCCATCTAATCATCCCAGGGAAGTGACATAATCCAGACAAGGTGGAATTACTGAGGAGTCGCCATGCAGCTAAAGCTCTCAGGCAGTCATATGTAATAAAAAGAGAGCTATTTTTATTTGCAACTGCAGTTCTCTTTGAGCATTACTGCTTTGTACTGTTTCTTCAATCTTATACGCCACACTGGTGTTCAAAAATACTTTTAAAGAAATTAACCAATAAAGCATTGGTGTTATAATGAACAGCACAATCCTATACAGATCTTCTCAAAAGATCTCAAAGATCCATCGATTTGAAGGAGGCCTTCTCCCAGACAGGTAGGGATGCAATTCCTATTTCAGGCCTAGTGGATCGCTCTAGGATTGTGGTTAGGCTGCTGGACTTGCAACAGGAAAAGAGGGTTTCCTTCAACAATGAAGTTCACCACTTGGGCCAGTCGCTATCATTAAAAGTTGTGGGCGGCATCAAACATGCCAAACTGAAGTTTTTGGAGGAAGGGCAAAACTGAACAGCAGTAATAATAAACTGTATGGTTTTTTAGAGCTGCTGGAGAGGTTAAGTGCTTGCCCCAGATAGCCTTAAACTCAAATACCTTACCAGCAGTGAGAGTAGCTCTCCCTACACAATTCCCAATTACATGGAAACTTGCAATTATTTATCCCAGAATAAATAATGTCAGCTCTTGGGGGGGAATAGGGAGAGAAGCCTCTAGCATGGATTTGTAAGAGGTGCTGCATGAGGACAAAATGCTGCATTTGCCATAATTCATCCCTGCTCGCTGCCACATAATGAATGTGATAGCCTACATCCACTCGGGCACTGGTCCCTGGCTGGCACAACAGCAGTTGCTCCACATTTCACAGTTCTCTGAACTGCAGCTACAGGTAATTTGTTACACTGGTAGCTCTTCAGGTAGCTGTCCCTATAAGAGGGAAAAGCAACTGGAAAGCCTGATTTCCCAGAAACCTCTTGCCCAGTTTATTCCCTGCCTACAAGAACCTTTCTTTCTCCTGGGCACAGGCTCCCTTTCTCCTTTGTGTCAACAACCAAGAGGATCTTGCCGGAGTTCTTCCATCCTTCCCCTCAGCTGATCACTCCCAGGCACGAGGCAACTGCAGGCCACTGGCACTAAGCAGCTGAGAGGTTCCCAGGAGATCTCAGCCAGACCCACGGTTGCTTTTGATCTGGAGAAGAGGGGGTGAAAACAGCTCTTTCCTGAAAAAGAATTCAATGGGTGACTCGGCTATGACTGGACTTTCTTCCCATTTGGAAATGTGACTGACCATCAATCACATCTAATACCTTCCTACATGCAATGTTGTTAACAATATTGTTAATGAGCAGCCAGTTTTGGATGGTTAACATAGAAACAGAGAAAGTCAGAAGGGTCTCCTGGACCTTCTAGTCTGACCCCCGGCTCCAGCCGGCCACATTCATGACGTGCCTATCATGTACATGACCAGCACACCTTAAACACCCTCACTGTTGGAGCTTCAACCACCTCCCGTGGAAGCCTATTCCAAACTCTATGGATTCTAACCATCAGGAAGTTCTTCCTGGCATCCACCCTAAATCTTAGTTCCCTGAGCTTTGCTCCACTGGAACGTGTCCTGCCCTCCACTGCAGGGGAAAAAAGGTCATGACCCACCTCTGTGTGGCACCCCCTCACGTACCTGTATGTCGCTAACAGGTCCCCTCTGAGTCTCGCCCTCTCAAGGCTGAGAGGACGAGAAACCAGCTTCCTCGGTCTCTCCTCATATGGCTTGCCCTGCAAACCAGCCACCATCCTAGTGGCCCTTCGCTGCACATGAGGGGTGGGATGAACCCTCTTGGAATCCGTCCCTCTAGCCCCTGTGGTTGGCCCAGTCCAGCAAAGCAAGCCAAGAGAAACGAAGCTCATGGCTACCTAATTGTAAGGGGAAGTACAAGAGTGGCTGTGCCAGGTACCATGCCCAATGAGCAATGTTTTTCTCTACTCCGTGCAGCTGGTGAAGGTCAGGTACATGAAAAGAGTGCTGCTCGCACAGCATATGTGGCTCCATTCCAGGGTTGAGCTTCACAAATACCAGGAGTGCTCACCAGGAACTTGGGCTCCGGCCAATGAAAAGCAGACCAGAGTCCAAGGAGCCATGCCCAGGCAATCCAATGGATTTCCACCCCAAAACAAATTCCTCATACGTTCCTGCTTAACACTGCTAAAGAACCCACACCCAACACAGAACAAAATGCCCTACGTTTCTCTCTACTACTGAGCAACAAAACTGGTAAACCAGAATAATGTTGGCACCTTAACACTCCTTCGGTCTCCTTGAAGAAGAATCAGAATCAGCTTGCCCATGAGCATCAGTCTTCCAGTCAGCTTTAGATCTGCACACCATTTTTCCACTGTTTTGACATATTTTCTTTTAGCTCTCATATGATCTAAATGCAAAAGGACAGTCCAAATGCCATCCTCCTCCGCTGTGGCTGCTGACAGAGTACTTTTCCCAGAGCTACAGACCGAGGTTCCAGCTTGCTCGACCACATGCTTAAGGTTCTGCTGTATCCAGAGAATCAGCTCATGTACCATGAGTTGTGAAAAATGTCTCTCTGCTTCCTCAAGTAATCTCCCTCTCACAGCCATACACTGTGTCCTTGTAAGCTGCTCAGAGTTAACAGAGATATTCGGCAGGCTTGTCGGATAACTGATGGGTAAATGAAACAGCAGCTGCAGCAATACATCTGTGCCCAGAGGTCCTTCCACATGGGTTTGAATCCTAAATGAGATCCCCTCTGTCTCTGAAAAACATCCAAAAGCCATAATCAATGGAACATCAATTGGAAAAGTCATAACAACTTTGCTAAATTCAATCTTCTGTCAAGGAAAACTTGAGTGGTATCAATATTTCATACAGTTTGAGGGATGCTCGCTTCTGTACTAAAAATGATACACGCAAAATGAGTACAAAATGCATGCAGTGGCTCCAGTTACAATCATACCAGCACTTGCCTAGGAGTAACCCCTATGGAATGTAGTAGGTTTTACTTCTGAGTAGATATTTATAAGTTTGTATTTGAAAGGCTCAGTCCTACATATGTTAAGACAGAAAGAAAGAAAAATCTTGCAATTTCTAGCATTACCCAGCCAGCCATGGAAGGCTTTTTTCTGTCCAAGTATATACAGAATTGCACCCTTAGGAAATGAGATTACCAGAAAGCTTGTGGTTACAATTTCAGTTTTGAGATGTACTTTATGGGTGGATACAAATGCATCCAACATAACCAGTTCTGTTCTTCACCCTTAAGAGGTTTTCTGCAATAAGAAAAAGCTAAGAGAAGCAGTGGGAAAATATAGGAAGGTTACAAATGCGAGTCAGTGTGGTGTGGTGGTTAAGAGTACAGGACTGGGACTCAGGCGATCTGGGTTCTAGTCCCCCAGCCACAGAGCTCATTGGATGACTTTGGGCCAGTCACAGACCCACCACATAGGGTTGTTGTTGTGAGGATAAGATTGAGAGGAAGAGAAGAACTATGTAAGCCAACTTGAACTCCTTGAAAGGAAAAAAGGCAGGATATGTGTATAATACATGAATGAATAAATGTGATTCCTGTCTTCTAGACTTTCTTGTGGGTCAGGCAAAAAAATAAGTGTGCAATAAATGCTCACATTAAAAACAAAATATACTCTAGTGAGTTTTCTCTCTGTGAAGGCCAATCACAGGGGTTGAGTCGCCTCAATCACAATATGCCATTATAACATGAAATGGCGGAGGGCATAAAGGTTCTGCGGTTCATACTGAGAACATAGTTCAACAGACTGATCAGAAATGTGGCACTCTAGAGGCTTCTCTATATGAGGGGACTTAACTTACTGTTTCACTGAGGCCTTTTCTTCCTTTTTCATTTCAAGAGAAAAATGTCCCCTATAATCAACCGTAAGGTGGTGCTGTGATATAGTTTCAGTAGGGCAGATTTGCAGCAACACCACTTTCGTTCTGCTTGGTCACAATTTAAAATTTAATACCAGATTTTCCTTGCTCTTACAAACAAAAACCAAAAGGGAGAAGGGTCCAGAAGACAACAATCTTGCAAAAAGGCCCCACAAATTATCAAGAGTGCAAAATGAATGCCTTGTGTGAAGAAGCCCTAAGAGGAATGGGTTTAAGGATGTGCTCTTCCTATTTTGAGGTTTAAAAGGCTTATTTAAAGGAGTTTGAGAGGCATTAACTTGGGGTGGGGGGGAGCACTGTTTTTCCCACAATGGAGTTTAATTTCTACTAGCATTTCTCATTTAGAAAGCAGTCTGTCATCTTAGCTAAGGAAAAAAGTGCAGAACTTACTTTCTCCACAAAGGTATTTGTAGCATTTTAGGGAAGTTTGACTTCTCATCCTGTGCTAGCCTATGAGATTCATCAGCTCCTACATACAGCTTGGGGCAGGGGTGCTGAAGGCAGCCCCCTGGTGGAAGGGCTCTATCTAAAGCATGTGTGTGTGTGTGAATTTGGTTTAAAATTTTGTAGGATAAGGTTTCAATGATGTTTTAGTGTTGTTTGCATTTTATATTTCATACTTTATGTGCTGTGCACCACACAGAGAGTCCCAGCTATTGCACTGTATAGAAATTAAAATAAACAAACAAACAAACCTTGGCCTCTTCTGGCCCCAAGGAACCCAGCCGAGAGGGCAAGGTATCAAAGTACCTTGAGGACAGAAAAGGAGATTGACTGGGAAGCAAAAACAGAAGCAGGAGAGACAGGCCCTAGGAAGGTTTAATAAAGACCTGGAAAGAGCATTCTGCCCTTTCCCCAGTTCCTTCACAGCAGAAGCACCAAAACCAGCCGTCAATAATGAGGAAGCCTGCAGATACATGTTTTAAGAAACAGTCTATCGTTAGGAAACATGCCACTTTTGGATTCCCTTCCCTCCACTTTATTGCACAGAAACTTACTTGAAATAGCTCATTCACTGGGGTGTCTGTTTTGTTTCTTCTCCACCTCTTGTTCCCTCCCTGTTAGGAAAGTCTTAGTTATTCTTTTGTAAGTTGTTCTCTGGCTTTCCCTCACTTGTTTCCAGGAAACAGGAGGTACACTTGGAGACACTGCTGGTTTTAAGTATACAGCACTGCATGGATAAAACTAGGAGCCAGAAATGCTTCCTAAGTCATCGACTCACTAGTGGGTCACGCCATCTGTAATATTACTGTTTCGCTTGACGGGTTTGGGAGGAATTACTGTAATGATGCATGCAAAATGCTTTAAACCCATAGACTGTGCTATATAAATGCAGTTTCATTATTATCACATCCAATTAATCATGCTATCCAAACTTTTCTAACTTGGTGCCTTCCAGATGTGGACTGCACCTCTCATCACTCCCAGCCAGAGAATGATGGGAGTTGTAGTCCAGCACATTTGGGGAGCACAGCAGGCAGCTGGTTGTGGAAAGTTCGTAAAACCATTGACTATGGAAAGAGCAGCACCGTTCACAAACAGTATTGTTTTCTGATAGCAATACAGCTGTGGTAAAATAATCACAATCCTTTTGCTAAAATAAAAGGGGGAAAGGACCTCATCAGCTTCTACTAAAGCAGCAGGAAAATCAGGGTGTAAGATGAAAGGTGCTCTTTTTCAGATCTTCACAGCCTCATCTCTGTGTTGTATTCCAACCACTTCACCCCGATGCTTCAAAAAGTTGCTTAAATGTCAGGCAGATTCATTCTGCAGAGGTTGGCCGAGACAGATTTAAACTGTGCAGCAGAGCAGGCCCAAGTTTTAGATGGCTTCCTTTGAAGTAGCTCCTCCCCTCTCTGTCCCCTAAGCTTTATTCTCCCTTCAGATGATGGGCAGTGCAATTATGTCTGTGCCCAACTACCACCACCTTTTCACTGCTGCCACAGCGTCACAACTTTTGGCGACCTCTGTAAAGCAGCAGAGAAAAGATCTTTAATGAGCAACGTAAGTTAAAACTATTCCAACAGAAGGAGAGGGCAATTTTGTCATGCCAAGAACCTTCAGCAGCATTGCCCATATGACACACACCAGTGAGCAGTACCGTGAAGAGAAAGTCCGCTGGTCACTAGTCACTCTTTCCACATTAGTTTTGGGGCATCTGACTCATCAAAAGAGATGCGGTCAACTAGCCAATCAAACATGTAAAGCATTTACCTGAACTACAGAAAGTCAACCATTATCCTCAGGTAAAACAAAATACTAAACTTTGTTGTGAAACAATGACCATTCCTTCTGAAAAAGAAATTGTAGTGGATTTTTAAAGCAATATTAGGTCATCCTTTTGCATATTTGAACAATTCACTGAGCAGGTTTTCTTTTTGGCTTTTAGGATCAGCTTGTGATTACAAAATATATTTTTAAATAAAGTCAAAACAAAAATAACAAACAACTCTTTATAAGGTCAGCTTTTAAGGTAGTTCTGTTATGTACGCAGCAGGTAAATCCTTCACATGTTATCAGCAACCTGGAACAAGATGGTGTTCTAGGCAGTAAGCAGCCCTCACTCCTTTCCTTGCCTACAAATGGTGCCCATACTTAAATCCAACAGGTGATCTGCCACCTGCTAGGAAAAGTTGAAGGAAGAGGAAGACCAAGTATGAGATGGATTGACTCCATCAAGGAAGCCACTGCCTTAAATTAAAAACAGCTAAGCAGTGAAGCCATGGACAGGTTTTGGTGGGCTTTCACTCATAAGGTGACTGTAAGTTACAGATGACTTGAAGGCACGTAACAAACACAGCAGCAGTTCCATCTTCGTGTAACATTTGACAAACATTGTTTTGGATTCAGACTCACTGAATTCAGTGGGACTCAAAGTGCTCATGATTCCAATCGTTTAAAGGACAAGTCTGAAATTGAGACCATAAGTTGAACATCTGCTTGAGCTTTATCAATCACAATGTAAAACAGATACACCATCTTTGCATCTTGGTATACCTTTGTTGTCAATCCCCCCTCCCCCTCACACACACAGACACACTGTACATTTTGAATTTATATTTACACTTCAGGCTGAACGTGATCACAGCCTGACTCTGAAGGTGGTGGATTACAACAGCTCTTCCTAAGTTGACTACCAGTAACAGTGCCTTCTATTTGCCTGATTCTATCACAAGAGGTGTTATCTGAAATAGAGAGCAGTAAATTACCATTCTGTTGACATTTATTGTGCTAATAAGTTGGAACCCAGCACATTCTCACTCATTCCCCCAGCTGCATGCTTATCCTCAGCAAATTCAGTGCTGCCACACTTCAAATTGTTTCCTACTTTGGTGTCAGCTAGAAAGGGCCCTTCTATTCACCTCCCCACCCCCCACCCATGAGCTTTCTGGGTCACACATTCATTTTGCAATTCAGAGCGTTACCTACAGAAATCCAAGTTTTGATGAACAAATATATATTTTATGGTAAGAAAGCTGAGCAAACTGGAGAACAGGAAGGAATAGCTTAACAAGTAAATTAAGTCATTCTATCTGCAACACTAATCTTTGGGACCAGACAAGCAAAGTAAAACAGAACTGTGTTAATTAGCTTATTTAAATTCATACACACATCATTTTCAATAAAATATCTTCTGAATTTTGAGTATGTCAATTTTAAGCTCGAAAAACACCCTTATTTTTGTTATAATGTGAGTGAAAGGGAAGATCTTCCTTGCTTTACTTAAAGCCACTAGTCCTCAAGAAAATGATGCTCTACTGCAGCTCCCAAGGCAGGAGTTGGAAACAGGCTTTCATGAGCATCTCTTTAACAGGATGGGAATTAAACCCACAAACAAGTGCTGTGCAT